CCGAGATAGAAAATATCGAAAGGTCATTAAAGTTTGCACAATACATAGTAGTAGTAGCAGCTGGGGACTACACTAGATTCAGTTAATTACTCAAACAAGAATTAAGCAGCAAAAACATAAGTACCTTCCATTTTCCTCCAAATTTTCCATGTGTTTATGGACATGCTTTTCATCGTTCTTAGTCACTTGTTTGATTTGCTTTTAAAGAAAGTCAAGAGCCAACCTCACCTCTCTGCTTTCTACCAGCAGCCCATCCAATGATTCAATGTGATGCTGTTGATGTATAACATCTTGCTGCAAAACACTTATCATTTTCTCTTGTTCAACGAATTGTTGATGCTTCTTCTCCAGCTGTGCCTGAAGCTGTCCGTAAGTAATTCATAGTTTATCATCTTAATAAGCTTTTTCAGAAAATTTGTGCATCTAAATATGTCATTCAGTTCTATTCACCTGTCGCTTTAAGAACAAAAAGCAAATACATTCCTGCCACCAACGGTATTGCGCAGTCTTAAAAATATCAAAAAAATCCCAAACACTTAATATTTTAATGCAACAGGAGAATCAAGAGGGCAGGCAGGGTGTAATTGTCTGTCATCAGCCAAGACAGCAAGACATGCATGCGTTCTTTACTAGAAGATTACAAGCTAGAAATAGCCACAGTTATAGTTCTAATCACATAAAGCAACAAAATTCTTCTCTAAAGACTGAAAAACCTACCGACAGTTCTCCCTGAATACAGATGCTCCTAAGGCTCAGGCTGGCAGAGGTTCAGCAAACAAAAGAATATTGTTAGAAAATGTCATGGTCTAACCCCAGTAGGCAAAAAAGCTGTACTTTTTTTTTTTGCTAGGTGTTTGGAGCAAAGAACAACAGTATTCTTCCCAAGTCCCTATTTCTCTTCAGCTGAGCAGAAAAGGGAATATGAATAACTCTGAGGGAAACCATTAGATTGTGTAGTGTTAGATGGAAAATGAACTAAAAATCAGGAGATGTAAGGAGAAGATATCACTTTTTAATGGACATCTGCCTCAGAGTTACTAAAAAGACAGAGAAGTTAACATCGGAAAAAAGTTACCAAGTATATCACTCATCCATAGTAGCACAGAGAAGGTCGGTCTTACCAGTTCAATCTGTTTCTCCATCTCTTTGTGCTGCTCAAGGTGAACCAACTTTGCTTTTTCAAAAGCAGAAGTTATTTGGTCACGTTCTTCACTGATAGCTGTTTCCAACTCATGAATGCGTCTGTTTTTTCCCTCAGAAAAAGCAACAACAAAAAGGACTTAATAAAGATATTTAGCTGAGATGTTAAATCGTGTTTTATTGGATTATCGAGTTTCTAGATTTCATAAAAGAACAACACAGCAAATACTGATGTTATACACAGTACGTTTCATCTCAAAGAATGTCACGCCTATCACACAAGTACAGAATGCCACTAAATGGAGCCACACCACAGACAGGGTGTCTGCCAAGGTGGACTACCGGCACAGATTAGAGCAACAGGAGCAAGGAACTTCTAACAGACTAAAAGAAATTCTGTGTTCATATGGATAGATGGAATCTTTAAAATACAGGTTTCCATTTCGAGGAGACCACATAAACAGTTTCCTTCTCTAGCAACCTTAGACCCCGTCCCAAAACTAAAAAAATACAGGTTTCCATTTCGAGGAGACCACATAAATAGTTTCCTTCTCTAACAACCTTAGACCTCATCCCAAAACTAAAGAAGTTTGTATAACTATACCCAGACCAGACTTTACAGCACTGCAAGTGTTAGATCACCTTCTTCACTTATGACCCTTTAGAAGACTTTTTTATTCACAGGTCTACACGTACTTCACCAAAACAAATGGCAATGCTACAACCGATTTCAACAGGACCGGATTTTCATTGCACGTATCATCACGAGGAAAAAGCAACACGTCCATTAATAACTTACCATGTTCAAAAGCAGGAAAAAAGATGTTTTATTTGAAGCAAGATTCAGCTTTTAAAAACTGCACCATCTAAAAACTTAGCAGATCTGAAAGTCTATCCATTTTGAATACGTGGAATAATACTGTTTTAACTCAAACTTTAATCTCCATTTATGTCTTTTCACATAAATGTAGTTTCTCACTGAGAACATTTTACCATGAGTTCCTGTTCCAACTCCATGTTTCTTGCTGCAGCAGCAGAATGTGCAGTAGTCTTTTCTTCCAACTGTTTTTCAAGTGCAGAAAGTTGAGAAGATTTCTTTGTTATCTGAAGTTAAACATGGCACAAAACAGCATGAAGACAACTGTTCACGATTTATTCAAGTACTTGCACACACTTTCTTACCACCAATTCCATTTTAGCTACTACTATTTCCTAGTATTTTTAATTAATTATTTGTTTGTTTATTTTTGTATGATCTATTGAACTTTGTTACTTACAGAGAAGAATTCAGGACAATTCACCTCAGATTTATCCAACTCCTTATAATTATCAGTGCCATAGGGGTGAATTAGCTATTACAGGCTTATAACACTTATGGCCATTCTTAGGAAATACTGCAAATCCTATTACGCTGGAATTCTATAAACACATTAGCACCAGAATGTAAAAATTAGTATTTTAACTTATTCAACCAGAGAAGAGCTAGCTGAAGCTTAATTTCTTTCTTTTGCAACTCTCTGGTAATGATGCTAATCTCTGGCAAGTGTACTAACATTTAATAAGGACAAATACAACTGTTCCTTCGACATCTATTTCATAAGATTACACATTAATTCAACCACACCAAAGCAACAAGACTGTGCATATTTTCCACATAACAAACCAAAATAGCAGTAGTAAAGCCTGCTGACTTTAAAAGTGAGATTCCTGACAACTAACAAATTAAGGCTGCTACCTTTAAGTTTTTCTGCTTGCTCAAAAGTTTATTTACAATAGTTCTTAAATAAGCCAGATTTAAAAACTAATACGGCAATTACAGTTTTTCCACAACCATTGCCTTAACTAACTTTGATTATCAAACTAAGCAAAAAAGTGACTTTTTTTTTCCAGTGCTGCTAAAACTTACTTCTCTCTTTAAGCTACTAGTTTTTGAAGCCTTCTTCAATAGATCTTCCTGTATGACTTGAAACTGCCTGGCTCTCTGAGCCATGCTGGTCTGCAAAGAGGAATTCTCATCATCTGCTTTTGTCAGTTTAGTGCGTAACTCTTCTATCTCTTTCTTGAATCTTTGCCTCTCCTTTTCAAATTGTTTGCTGATAAGTTCCAACTGTTGACATTTTCTCCTCTCTCAAAGTAGAAGAAATACATTTAAGATCAGTTTATAAAAGAACATACAAACCAGCAATCAAGCAAATAATCATACAAACCAAAGAGAGGAGGAATATGATTTAATGACAGCATATTGAACTAACACATACAGAGATGCATTTAAAAAACACTATAAAACCAATTTAAACCCCACCAAAAACTCCTATTCTGGAGATTCATCAGACAGAACTGCACAGCTATTTTGTAAGCTTACCTCCTTCACTGCTGATCAGTTTGACAGGCTCTGTTTCCAGGCCACATAACCTGCTATTCTCTTGTCCTTCATTATCATTAGAAAGATGCTCAGCTCCGGTACAGATAGTTAAGTTTGCACGAGGCTTCTGAATTTCTGCTTCTTTCATTGCCAGTTTAACTCTATTAAAAAGGAGGAGACAATTATTTAACATTCCTTCCACATGCTAGTTCTAACACCACCTTATCACCTGCCTGTTCTTGCAATAATTCAGTAACCAGAAAGTTATACCTTAGGTCTGCAATCAAAGGTTTCTTCAATTCACAGCTAGATTCAGAAAGCGCTTCCTTTGCTGAGGAACTGGATAGCTGGTGCCATTTAATCTAAAAGTTAAGGGAAAGCCAAGATCAATGCAAAAATCGACTTTTTATTGCTTCACAGCATGATTAATTCATGTGTTACACTAGCATATACATTTGAAGATGCACACACCAGGATGTTAAAAGTTTGTGTAACTTGATCATTAAAATCATTCTCCTACGTAAGTGCTTGCAGAGCACTGCAGGTTTGTCTTATTAGTAGACATTACAGGCATTAAGACCCTCTGAAACTGAGGCCATTCCTTTACATATCTTTGTATAGGTACTGAAGCATGAACATTTCTGCTGTGAAACAAATAAGTAAATGGAGATACTATCAGTAATTCCACATTTTGAACTTCTCACATCATGCTTCCTTTCAGATTTCAGTGACTGCATTTATTACCATTTTTTCCTCAAGTTACAGAGGGCTTCTGAATATTTCACTAAACTATCACAATAATCCCAATTTTTTCCAGAAAATGCAACTGAATTTTCCGAAAAGGGCCCTAAAACAATTGTTAAGGCTCTTCCAAATAAATGTCTATGGTCACAACAGCCCAAAACACCATTTTTATACAAAATTACTGTACCATCTTCAGCAGACAACACTTGGGCAATTTCAAAATCATATAGAAAGCACCCCTTGGATTTTGTTTTCATTACAGCTACTCACACTTATACTTCAAAAATAAAGGTATCTGATGCAATCTGTACACCTGACCTCATGTCTGTCTAACCCTTCCTGACTTCCCAAATAGCTCCTCCAGTAGCCCCAGTCAGTTCACAACTTTTGGGTTTTTTCCATGACTCTCCCAATCACAACCAGTTTAGTGATAAACTTCACCAGTACAAGCTTCAGGCTCATAATCCAGGGTTCATCCTGGTAAAACAGAAGTTCATTCGCAGTCAGGGAAGCTGTGCCTTCTCTTTCCCAGAAAAATAATGTTCCTACAAATACCTCTCCTGCTCTGATTTTTCCATTGCTGAGGCTGACCCATCAACTCTGGCTGTGTGACACAGTGTGTCTGCCATATGGGAAAAGCCATACTGTTGTACTGAGAACCTCTGCATCCCAGAACGGGACGTCATCATCTTTTTGAGAACAGACACACATCTGAAGAATCAATACACAGACCACAGGAATGGAAAGCGTAATTTTAAATGCTTGCTGATTAATCAATTCCAAAGCTCCTATTCCTTGTTCTTAAATGAGGAGACAAACATACAATATTTAAATTAAGAAAACACGTCATCCATGCATCTTGAAAACCAGAGATATTTTACTCTGATTACTTCTCAAGAACATCACAGGATTTCCATGCAACATCAGTTAGAATTGTTTAAGACACACAATACAACTTCAAAGGATGTATCAGTCACTGTACCTCTTCAGGTGTGCTTAGAGATAACTGGGAAATAATGGTTTCTAGTCTGTTGAGCTCTTCCCTCGAGTCTTCAATTTCTTGATGGCATAATTTCAAGCGGTTATGTTGCTGTGCAGTAAGTGCTCTCAGCTCTGCGTTTTCACTTACTAGAGCATTCTTCTCTTTAAGTACTATTTCTTTTTCACTAAGTTCACTCTCAAGCTCAATGATCTTCTGATCAGACTGAGTCAGCATTGATATCACTTCAGTGTTCTTTGCCTCTAGAGTCTTAATTTCTTCTTTTGTGCTATGATTCTCTTCTTTTAATTGCCTAAAAAAGTATATCCATTTAAAAGGTATAGCTCAACATAGCGGGTTTTCACTATTAAATGTACTAGAATAACTTGCCATAACTACACTGTTTTACTAGTTTCCTCCCTCTCAGTTTAGGATTAGCTCTACGCAAAGGACAGAAAAGCTTTCACTGCTTTACTAAGCTTTCACTGTTCCTCAGGACCAAGGTGCAAACTGCTATCAGCAAACAAAAGGAGAGAATAAACTACTTCTCATTCTTCAGCAACTTAAAGTTTTAAGCGCTATCAGGTGAGTCACTAATAGGAAACATATCAAGGTGGCTTTAACTGTGCTGAAGCCAAGGAAATTTGAGAACAGGACAAAATAACTATATAACAATACCTAAAATCACAATGAATGAAAATAATGTACTAAGGCTGAGCTAGTCCAGCATTCTACTACTGAAAAGAGAAGGAAGGTCCTATTTCTTCTCTCCCCCCATATCTGACTGTAAATGAGCCAATTGTCTTTTTAGCCCATCACAAATTATTTACTTTTTTAGGTACCTGTTGGTTCAGAAAACTTAATCAGCTCAGCAAAGGTCCTGATGAGTGCCAAACCCAGTAAAAGTTAGTGCAGAAAAGAGGGCAGTCTAGAGGAAAGACCCCCATCAGCAATAGAGAGCTATTAAACAGGGCCAGGCTAGCGTAAGAGTGCTCCCACACTGCCCACCCTTGCCAAAATGGCCTAAAGAATAATTGTTAAGACAGAAATGTGAGTGTGAACAGCGTATGTGAATGGGATACCCAAACGAGAAGGTGTTTGTCCAAACCTAATAACAGTAAACACAACCAGCTGATGGCTGTCCTCCCTCATGAAAGTACTAAGGGAAGCACCAAAGGACCTGTGAAACAAAGCGGGATTCATCTTGAAAAGATACATACAAGGAGCATAAAAATTTATAACAGTGGGAAGAGACTCTAGAGTGGGAACAGAGCAGCACTTGGTTTGACACTTCCAGAAGTTGCAGCCAGCATCACCTCTGTTCAGGCCCGAGTGCAGCCTCCCCATCGGATCCCAACAGTATCCTTCATGCTAGCTGGGGACTGACAATATGGTGTGCAACAAGCAGGGACTCACACCTGGCCCTGTGAGTGCGCTCATGGGGTGTTTTCTCATTGGCGTGTACCTTAGTGGTCTGCAGGCAGCAGAACAGGTATGTATAAGGCCAGAGTACCCACGTCTGCCACAGAAGCAGGGTGTGAGCAAGGGACCCTGTGCTCCCAGAAGGCCTGGTGGGGTGTTGTTTGTTGCTGTGAATACGTGGCAGCATGTGGGACTAGAACTTTTAAGGATTAGTTATAGAAAGGAATTTAGGAATTTGTAAGTGTATGCTAACATTGTTTACCTGTTCTGTATTACAGTTTGCTTGTTGTATTGCTGATACTGATCTTAAGTGTTCGCTGATGCTGGTCCTAATTTGGTTTGAACTGTGAACTGAGCAGCACATTCACAGTGACAGCTGTAACATGGCATTTCTTCTCAAATAACCATACGGAGATTTTTAAAAGCCTTTGCATTACCTCAATTGCTCTTCTAGGATGTCTAGATCCTTTCTGTAGCTGACACACTTTTCATTCAACTTCTCTTTTTCTTTTTCACAATTAATTAAACGTTTTCCCAAGATTACTTCTTCAGCTTTAACCTTAAAAAGCAATTTTTTTTGTTACTGTACAACAATAATCTACCCATGGCCAACAGGCTTTTTTAGAAGTATCCCATAAACACTACACTGTTTCTTTTTTTTCTTTCTGGTAAGCCTGTACATAATTCTGTTAATCACTGTTGTGAAGAAAATAAGAAAGGCTAAGAAGTTTTCTTTCTTTCTATCATTTGGGAAAAAAATTAATGTTACTTTAGTTTAATATTTTAGGGCATATTTGTGGTTGGCAATCTTCTTCCACAAGGAAAGAAGTCTAATCAAATAAAATTTCTCTATAAGAGCTGTCTCAGGTCTGCATTTTCTCCACCCTCAAGGCAGGAAGCATTAACAATTTTGACCACTAAAACTTCGGGAGATGACTTCATTTTCACCTTAGCTCTTCATCTTTCTCTGAACAGGTCATACAGATGGAGTCAAAAGGGTTCTTTTAAAAGGATCATATACTTTTAAAATGTAAACTTCCCAGCTGGCAAGCAAGAGAAAGAAGAAACAGCAGCAGTAGTAGGATACCTCAAAGACGCAGACTGTCCAGACTGTGCGAAGACAGTTTAAAACTGGATAACTGAAGTTATCACCACAAGCAGTTGCTTACCCTGTCCCATCCCACCTCTCTTAGGACTTTGCCACCAACAAGCAGAAACAATTGACCCACTGCTGAATTTTTCGCTGCCTAGCTTGTTGGAAGAAGCAAAATCCTAACAGCGTGGCAAAAAGTAGTGAAGAAAAAACTCTTACCTTTTCTAACTTTTCAGTTATTTGCTCTTTATACTTTTTGAAATTTCTTGTCAGCTCCTCTGCGTTCAACAAAGCTTCATTTCTTTGCTGTTCTGCTCTGCAAAGAAGCACGCTAATTTTAAAAATCACAAGTTTCAGTCATTATGTAACTATCTCCTCCAGTTAGTAAAAACAATTAGATTAATTGCCTCAGGTAACTTCCTTTCTTCTTCCAACTTTCCAAGTCCTAGATAAAAAAAGTTTCACGTGAGGCATAAATTAATTTTAAATACCATTTTTTATATTAACATAATCAAAATTCCAATAAGACTAAGAATGTAAAAATAAATACTTTTGATTCCCCTTCAAAAAGAATTTGTTTCAAACCATCCTCCTGTCCCTACCAGTAAAAGCCCACTGTAGGAGCTGGGATAGCACACATGATAAGGCAGCTGAAGATAGCAGCGCCCCTTAAAATTCAAACTGCTTAAGGGGAACTAGAAAAGGCTTTGATACTGCAGAGAGCTCTTGTGATGGAATTGTGGTGAGACTGACAGGAACTGATCAAAGGATAAATTATTTCAAGGATACTGGAGAGTTGGCATCAATAATAGTAAAAGCAGCTGAGACTGGGATGATACCAGGTGAGCAACCCAGATTGCCTACTGTTTCGCCCCTGCCCCTCTCTTACTTTCCCCTGCCGTTGCTCACTAGGGAGGAAGCTGGAACAGTAACCCCGGGCAGTTCAGGTATGCAGCCTGCTCAGGACACGCAACACAGGCACGCAAGAATTACCCCTGCTCAGCAACATTTGTTCCTGTTCCACTAAGGGAACTGTGGGGACAGGGCAAGGGCCTCATCTAAGCACAGCCTGCCCTCAGATCGGTGTTTCTCAGTTTGAGGACCACTGCCCATTTGGAGACAGCAGAAGTATTCAGAGGAGGGGATAAAGGGATTCCAGAAAAACAAAAATAGCGTTAGTCTAAAGCACTTCAGTTTGCTTGGCCAAAGAATACTAAGTGGCTGTAATTACTGATTAAAAGCAGACTCTAACAATAGTTAAAACTAACCATAACACCATACACTGCCTTTAACACCTGGCAGAAGCTCAGTTTTTCTAAAGCACCAAAATATTTACATTTGCAACTAGTAACTCAGCACAACTAGTTCCAACCCCACATGCTCTGAATGAACAGTGAACACAAATCAACGCACTTCACCAGCAGCACAAGCCCCACAGTATTTCCATTTGTCTCCCTATAGGAAGGTTAGAGGTAATTCCATGGGTAGATAAACAAGCCAAACAAGGGGGTTGCATTCAAAAGGCTCAAGAAATGTTTTCCTAAGTCATTAATTCAGTCAATTTTTGCCCCAGGTAATGCAGTTAAATGAATTGGGCAGGTAGGAATCTGTGTATTTGTTCCTCTTATTTCTTTAAAATTACATTTTGCAGGGATAGGATTGTATATGGTAACTTCCAACAGTCAAAAGAAATTGCCTAATCGTCCCATTAACCACACAACCACTAGGCTATAGGAGGTAACAGGAAAGGGAAATGGGGATTGGGATGGAATTACAGCACCCTTTTCAACAGTATGCCAGAGACAGGTAAGATTAAGGATAATATAAAAATAGTCTCTCAATTAAGTCGTGCTTTTATTGCTTTCCTCACACCAACCCCAACAATACAGCACTCAGTACTGTTGAATACCGAGTACCGAGCATACACTGTAGGTTCTTGCAAGACAAAGTCAAAAATAATTAGTGAAAACTATATTCTGGACACATTCCATCTCTCCACTGCAGTACATCTAATCTGAAGGGAAAAACAGGTGATAAACTGGTTACTAGTGTATGATACCAGCCTGCAACTACCAGCAAATTTCAATATTTAAAAAGTGCCCATTTAAATACTAAGTGTCTTCACACAGAATTTCTCCCTTTTTTTTTTTTTAAATAACATCCTTTAAAGCAGAGAAATAACTTGGTTCCACAAAGTAAACATCTGCCAATGGAGATAAACACTCACGTACTATTATTCTGTATTCAATTTATTAAAATTATGTAGCTACCTCTTTCCTTGCTTGCTTCGTTCAATTAACTCCATTTTCAGATTTTTATAGACCTTTTTATATCTTTGCAACATGTTTTCTCTTTCCATTCCTATTTTCCGGCTTTGATCTAGTTTATCTTCTGCATCTCTAGCAAATAAACAAAGCATAATAAAAAAACAGGAACGTTTTTGTAAATAACCTAGATTTTTGTGGTCTTTATCTGCACGTGAAGAGAAGCACTAATCAAACACACTGCAACTCTCAAAACTAGGTTTGGAACATCCATAGTCTCCAGACTCCCCAAGGGTATGTCTGCAGTCTGGAGTGGTGTCTAAACCTCATCAAGAGGCATCAGGAGTCATGATGCCAAGGACCCAGATGGCTGACTTCAGGTCATGAGATCTGAACACAGAAACCACCATTTTTCTGGTAATAGGTATGACTGGTCAGGATACACACATGGGAACACCACTAAAGTATAAATTAAATATAAGTATTTTTACTTCTTTTGTGAAGACAGACTATTGAGGTAGTAATTAAATATTATATAGTGTGAGGTCGTAAGATAGACTGACAGCCAGGTATGTCTTCCTGACAGCCTCTGGACACCATTTACATCAGCTTTATTTGGCCATTTCCCTTGATCAATATATTCATGAAGAAAGAATCCTTTACACCACACGCTCCAGGGCCATGTTTCAAAATACATACGCTTGTTAAGTACAGAAGATATGCAGTGTTGTAGCATACAATCACTCTAGTCAGTTATAAGGGCACATTCACGTTTAGTGTATGTTATCATAGAATCACCGAATGGTTTGGGCTGGAAGGGACCTTAAAGGTCATCTAGTTCCAACCCCCTGCTGTGGGCAACAACACCTCCCCCCAGACCAGGTTGCTCCCAGCCCCATCCAACCTGGCCTTGAGCACTGCCAGGGAGGGGGCAGCCACAGCTTCTCTGGGCAACCTGTGCCAGTGTCTCACTACCCAGAGTTTCTTTTACCAGTCTTCACTATTTTTGTCTCCGTTTCTTGAAGTACATTCAGTACAAAATAGAACACCCCCCTCCTCCTATATAGGGCTCTGAAATGAGTTTCAAGCTCCCGATTACATGACCCACATAGTACCAGCAATTATGTCATACCTCAGAACTTTATCTTGAGCTGAAACTTCTGCTTCCAAGTTTACAATCTGTTCTTTCAGCTTCGGTATGCTGATTAAATGTGTATCTAAAGTCGATTCAAGAAAAGAAATCTGAAATACAAACATATTTGGGGTTTCATTAACACTTGCATGTGTACCTTCAAGTGAGATGCATAAGAACAATCTGCTCACTGCATGACATGGCGCTCTTAACCTTACTGTAGAAGATGCTTGTTCATCTACACAAAGTGATCTCCATTTTCTGTTCATTTAACAACCTTCCAGTTCCCTAGCACCATTCCAGTGTGACATGCTGTCTAGCAGTGGTTTCTTCACATGTTGATCTTGTCTCCTGCTTTTCCCTGAAAGGTTGCATTCCACTATTTATTCGTTCCATGCCACAGTCAAACATTTTGTTTATCTACTTATTTGTAGTGTCTTGGAGATAACGTTTCTTACATACAAAAAGCACTAAGCATAGCTATGTTTTATTAATGTTAGATATAAACAAGAACAAGAACACAGTTGTCCTGAAAAAAATGGTACATGTAAGTGTATATTGGATCAGTGATGATTTATTAGATAAAGTATTTCCTTCTAACTCACCTTCCCCTTTTCAAAATAGCAATATTAATCCAACCTGAAAGGTCAACATTTTTCATTTCCTAGACAAATGACTACTGTGCCATTATTATTCACATTAATCACAGGATGGTCAGGGCTGGAAGGGACCTCTGGAGATCACCTAGTCCAACCCCCCTGCTAAAGCAGGTTCACCCAGAGCAGGTCACACAGGACCACATCCAGGCAGGTTTTGAATATCTCCAGGGAAGGAGACTCCACAGCCTCCCTGGGCAGCCTGTTCCAGTGCTCTGTCACCCTCAGGGTAAAGAAGTTTTTCCTCATGTTGAGGCAGAACTTCCCATGATCAAGTTTGTGCCCATTGCCCCTTGTCCCGTCGCTGGGGCCACTGGGAAGAGTCTGGCCCCGTTCTCTTGACACTCACCCTTTAGATATTTATAAGTATTTATAAAGTCCCCTCTCAGTCCTCTCTTCTCCAGGCTAAAGAGCCCCAGGTCTCTCAGCCTTTCCTCATAGGGGAGATGCTCCAGTCCCCTCATCATCTTCATGGCCCTTAATCCTAACGTAGCTCAGACATATGAACATACAGTACTAAATATATTATTGAACTATTTTATTTTTTTTTACATAATGTATTCTTTATTCTGTGACTTACTGGCTTTAGATTAAATTTGGAACATGAATAGATAGAATTCATAATTAATATAGTTGTTTTGCTCACAGAGAAATAGATTCCAAACTATTCTGTTCCAAGATTAATGCTGAATATTATGAAAAAATAGAATATTAAACTTCAAAGTTCAATTAAGTAGATTAAGACAAGAAAAAAAAAACAGCACACTTTGCTTGGAATTACAGACTCAAAAGTCATGGTCACTGGGGTGGTTTTTTGGGTTTGGGGTTTGTTTTTCTTTTTGATGAATACACTAAAAACACATACTCTTGTTTTTGATTGCATCAATTCCAAGTTCATTGTTTCCACTCTGTTCTTTAGGTAGTGGTTCTGAGAAGTCAAAGATGCATTTTGCTCATGAAGGGCATCCAGCTTCTCCTTAAGATGTTCATTTTCTTCCACAGTTTTAGCAGAAGTTGCAGATACTGAGTAAGACTAGACATAAAAAAAGGGATTTTTTTTATATATATACGCACACATTCCTATATATGCACATGTAAGCAATATATATACATCAATTAAAAAAAGGGATAATATATTTAAATCATATTATGTTTAAGAGTGCTCCATTGAGATAATTGCCCAATGCTAGAGTATATTAACTTCAAGCCCTAAAAGCAACAAAAACCATCATAAATGTAGAAAAGAACAGAAAACCAAAGCAATAAGAGTAAGTAATAAAGGGCAATATTTACTTCAGAGTTTCTTTGAAAATCCTGGCAAGATGTTTTACCAGCATTCTTCTTACAGTTGGAAAAGCCTTGATAGCTGCAATTAGGCTGAACAAGGTCCTCCAGAGTGAAGTCTACAGCCTCATCGAAGCCGTGGCCATAACGTTCACTGGTACTAGTGCTGAGGGAGAGCAAAAAGTTGCTACACCATTTTTCCTTATTATTTTTAAATTGTTCATAAGGAGCATTCAAAGGAAAAGCTCAAAAGAAGTTACTTGCCATAATCTATTACACAGTGTAAGACAGATTTACACTACAAGAGACAGGCTGTTCTCATTCCCAAACACACTCGTACCTGGAAAGCTCTTCCTCTACAGTTTGTAAGTTTTTTTCAGTTCTCCTCAGCTGACTCCGTAATGACTGTAAACTTTCAAGCAGGTCTTCATCAGCAGCACTTCTATTGCAAGTCCACGTACTATATTCCATTGGTACCACACATATGACTAAAATATGTAATATCAAAACATTTTTAGATGTATGTGAATACTGTTTGCAAAGATACTTTCAAAGATACCAAAATAAGGCAAACAGGAAAAAAAAAAAGGTGGGAAAAAGAGAAAACACAAAAAAGGAAATACTGAATTTCCAAATGCAAACGTACATTTCACACACTACCTCTTCCCACATTCACTACACAAAAATTACTCTGTACAAATAGCCTTTTTTGAGAAAAAACAAGTTCTGTATGTATTCATAAAGTACGAGAAGATTCATGAATTGCCTCTTATGAAAACTGGAAAAATCTACTATACAGTAGTTGCCAAAAATGTCCTGTACAACGCATCTCAGTCACTTCAAAAGTCCCACGTAACTGGCAGGGCGCCTAAGAAGGCAACAGCAAATACATAGATCCTGCCTGGCTGTCCCATGACCAGCGAAATTTAAAAACAGAGGAGCGAGAACCTGGCAGCAGAGAGGACGCGAGATATTAAGGTGGGGGC